TGCTGTAGCCTCTTGAGTAGCTGGGATTATAGGTGTGAACCATCATGCCCAGCTAACTCTCTCTTTATCTGAGTTTATTCTCAGGGAATAGCTTATTAAATGTACCATAGAAAATTATGGAAAGAAGCAATAATAGGAAATAAGAAATTTGCCACTAAATTTATACCTCTACCCCAATATTTTCAGTCAAATGAATCCAGTAATACTCTGCCTCTGAGAAGAAACCCTCCAACTCTTCATCTCTATTGAGTTCAAAGTGTTCGGATCCTTATACTTGATAGGTCAGGTTTAGCTTTAAATTGTAGGGATAAATGAAGCAAACAAGCAGAAAATTAAGAGTTGGACTAGTATCTATGGGTCCCATGGGTTTTGTCCAAATTATACAATATGCTTAGCTCTTTTAAGAAGAAAAGAACACTGTGAAAATAAAAAGAAAGCACAGTTGTTGTTCTTGTTTTTTCACTTTCTTTGGCCAGATTAGGGATTGCATTACAAAGAAGTAGAAAAAAATTAAATGGAAGGAAATTCTTTGATACCATTTAGTGCACTTTTGTAACAATGATAAAGTTAAATTCAATATTTATTATGGGCTTTTTAGTGTGTAACAGGTAACTACCTTTTCTTAATGGATGAATTATAGCTAGCTCCTTATTGCCCTTTATCCAGGAGGTTTCATTAATGGTTATTTATTAACATTTTATTATAGGATTGCTAAAGAAAACAATCTGATTTGATGCATACAAAAATTTCTATAAATGTTCCAGTAGTAACCCAAGGATCAATGATTGTTAGCAGTATTTACTAAAGATGTTTTAAAAAATGAGAATGAGATGTATCTTAGGAGAGGTAAAAAAGGAACCCTGTGGATTGATAATCACACTGATCTGAGTCCACATATTTAGGCATGAAAGAGGGTTTCAGTTATTGGAAAATAGAAAATGATAAGTGGAACAGTTTTTTAGTATCTTTAACATTAAGACATCAAATCACATTAAAGTTCTATGAATGTGATATTTCACCGCCTTTCATTAACAACTTATTTTTTGCAGCATTTTTGAACCTGCACTTGAAAGACTTTCCAATTCCTCTCCCTGTGATATTATTTTTAGTTGGATGCAGTCTCGAAATACTAAGTTTTACATCTTTCCAGGTGTGTATAGTGAGTGAGTATTTTGCCCTATATCTAAGAATCATATAAATGCAAAGACAGCTTTAAAAAACTTTCAAAAATGCTCATCCCCTCGCTGCTCTACCAGGTGATAGATGCTTGTAGTGTGGATGACATCAATCAGATCAGATGTGTAGAAAAAAAGAGCCAAAACTGAGATCCAGCTAGGAGGCAGTTTGGAATGAGTACATGTAGCGCTACTGAGCATGTAAGTGGACAGTGAGTGTTAAACCGAATTCAGAAGCTTAGACAAGAAATTGGCTAATGAGATAGGAGCTCAGGGAGACTTTGTGCTACTGGTACAGGACTCTAGTACCAAAAAAATATGTGTATATATCTAATATTGAGCCAATCAATTGCCTTCATTGAGAATGTTTTATAGGCTTCCATTAGAATGAGGGTCAGTCTCTAAGTGCAGATGTGGCCTAGGGACCATACAATATCTGCTTAGTAAATAAGAGGGGATATGAGAATATGTCTGAAAATGATTGACTTTCCCAACCAGATTTAGTCAGTGATATTAAAAATATTATAGAAAACACATAATATGTTTAATTTATAATCACATGATTTTGACACATTGCAATTGTAAGTACTTCTATAAACTTTATTATTTATCATCATGTCCTTCAGAGAGAGAGAGAACTTAATGTCAAAAAACTGTGAAGGGCCTTGGAGCCTGTAGCTCAGTGGCTGGGGTGCCAGGCACATACACTGGAGCTAGCGGGTTCAAACCCAGCCTGGGCCTGCCAAACAATGACAACTACAACCAAAAAATAGCCAGGTGTTACGGCAGACGCTTGTAGTCCCAGCTACTTGGGAGGCTGGGGCAAAGAGTTGGAGGTTGCTGTGAGCTGTGATGCCAGAGGACTCTATGGAAGGTGACATAGTGAGATTCTGTCTCAAAAAAAAAAAAAAAAACTGAAGAGTCTAAGATTTTCATTCTACTTTCAAGCTCAAAATCTAGTCCTGGCAAAAGACGTGGGACTCCTGGGACAGAGGCAAGGGACCTTATTACTCACAGCAATAGCAGGCTCCAGATTATGGACACTTTCTTAGGCCTGTTTCCTGAACTCCAGTCCCACAGGAAGAAGCAAAGAGTCTGGGGAAAATCTGCATATACAGTGAGTTGCATTATAGGAGAGGAAACCTGAGCTTAGAGAACCTGCGTCTTTTATAAACTCATTTGCTCTCCCCTCAAGGGAGACATTTTATTTATTACCCTGAACAGTAAAGTAAGCCTGCTCATTGCTCTGGAGGACGCTTGCTGTGTCGTCCAAGATTGTAGCCATACAATCACTTATGAAAGAATAGCTGATAGAAAAGCAGTCACTGTCTCCAGTCATACATGGAGACACACAGACAATTATCTCCCAAATGCAAAGATACCACCCAATACAGAAGGTACTCAGTGTTTCCTTAATAAATGAATGTTAAATGGATACTCATAATAGAATTTACAAATTTCAACTAAATAGCTTATGATAAACATTGTTGGTTATTTAGTACATGAGTCCCATTAACTTTCCAGTTCGATCCCTTCTATTGCTCCATACACATCTTCTGTAAAAGCCATGGCAAATTATTTGTAGTTTCTAGAATTTGATTTGATTTACTCCTTTGTGGATTTTGTTCATGATAATCCACATACCTGCAATCTCTTTCTTCCTCCCACATGCCTGAAAATCTGCTACATACTTTTTAGTACCCATGTCAATGAACTTTGTATGCATGTTCTTTTTTTTTTTTTTTTTTTTTTTGAGACAGAGCCTCAAGCT